AAGGGGAAGGATCCAGAAAGACCAATGGAATCTACTTTGTGTACTGTGATATTTATGGAGATGCTTTGTTTACTTTCCCTAGTGTTATTATAACTTTGTTATGTTGTTATAATTTGTTAGTAGAATTGTAAACTTTTGAATAAAAAAAGCATGCAACTTTTTTAAAAAGTTGACTTAACAGCTCTAAAACATGTGTCGATTTTTTTTTAAACTCTTTGAATTGAGTGAGACAGAAAATAATGAGTAAGTTTGCAGAGATGGACTTAACTTGCTACATGGACATCTGAAGCTGGCCCGTCCACCTTGTGCACAATTGAGTCTGTGGACTAGAGGCTTCTCACACATCCTTCCCCGGGGCGGGGGGGCATCTTTATTCTTGCAGAATCTGAGCCGACACCGCTCCCCCACCTCTCCGGAGCCCTGCGTTAGGTTCCCCAGCTCTTCTGTGCTATTCCTTTTTCTCTTCCGCCCTACTTCACAGCTGTGAGGTGACATCCAACACTTCCCGGCAGCATATGCTGGCAGGAGCAGGTGCCAGAGCAGCAGAGAGGGTGAGAAATGGAGAGGATCCCACGAAGGGCTGGGCTCTGCCTCGCAGGCCCCAGCTCTCCTTCCTTCCTCACCCCGGGGACCAGGCGGGCCCAGGTGATCACACTGCTGCTGTCATTTTCGCATCTATAAAATAGCTTTCTGAGAATCCATATTGAGATAATCCATATTCAAGGGCCTAACTATAGTCAATTCTCACTATATGGTAAGCTTTTACTACCCTGCCACCTTCTGAGTTAGGCTTGCGGGTTAAAGTGATGGGTAGGGAAGTTGGGACAATGTTCCCTTTACTTCAAGAAAACCACATTCTTTAAGATAGGCAAAAGTTACTTCTGTAACCCATCTGAAGGTCTGTTCATTCTCCCCACTTCAGATAAGCTCCAGAGAGAAGAAACGAAATGAAAGGTCTCTGTGGGATTTATTCTGATGCTTCTGTCATTCATTCATTCCTTCATTCATTCACTCAACAAATACTTGTTGAGCATCAACCACATGCCAGATGATCTGACAGGTGCCCAGGATACAGCATCAAAAAAGTGCATTTCCTGACCCCATGGAACCTGAGACTAGCAGAGGGGACACATTCTAACAAGGGAACACACACACCACCACCACACACACACACACACACACACACGCTCATGTATAATATATCAGGACGTGATAAACTCAATGGAGAAAAACTAACTGGGGTCAGAATGATGCAGAGCGGGGCAGGAGGAGGGAGGGGAGCGATTAACCTTGCAGGTGGCCGATGGAAAAGGCCTCTCTGGTGCAGTGGCATCTGTGCAGACCCTTCTCTGGAGACCTTCTTGGAAACTGTTCTTCAGGAAAACAAGCTCACTCATGCACAGGCATCCTTAGCATCGATGACTCTCCGGGTAAGTTGGTTTTAACATACCCCTCTGCTAGATGAAGAAAGGATGTTCAGTGATAATCACGAAACGGAACAAATCTATTTCATGTGTAA